AACACAGTGATGTACTATTCAGCACCTGTTTAGACTTCTAGCTGTCCAGCTAACACCTATCTAATGCTAAATTTAACATCCTACAGATGATGCTCAGAAATGCCATCAAATGTTTTACTCTTCATCGCTGAATGTTCACAGCACGGGGGAAACCAAACCTGATACATGGTTCTATCTTGTGCTTAATTCTTGATATTTTCCATTCCAAAGAGAATAATCCCTGCAGATCCAAAATCCTACAGAAATCTGCAAAGGAAAGAATGTTGTCAATTTACACGGTCCAGCTCTTAAATGATATGGGCTTTCTGAATCTCTCCCTTTCTGCATCAAGGGCTTATGGAACACATATATTTCTTTGTGTTCTGAACTCCTATCTCATGGAAAATCATGACACACTGATATTCCCAGGGCATTATACACATGGCAATCTTTTACTAACTATAACCACATAGCTGTGACACATGAGCTACTGTGCCCAAATATCATGAAAATACAAGCCTTCATTATTATTTCATCAGATTATTATTTCATCATTATTTGGAGGGAGAGAAATAAGCTGTCCAAGGTAACACAAATAGTAAGATTAGGAGCAAAGAAAAAAAAAAAAAAAACAACTTACTTTGTATTACTGGTCCCAGGTCTGGAAGTTAATTTCATAGAAAAGCAAACGTCTGAAAGACAAATGTTGGGGATTATAAAAAGGCTTTAGTCAGTGACCAACACTGGAAGAGAACTTTGCTTGCAAATTAAAATTTCAACTCTGGTGGTTGAGAGGTCGCAGACATAAGACGGAAATAATGAGGAAGGTAGACTAATAAAATGGAGGATAATAAAGTGTAGGAAAGCCAATGGCTTCTCTGGGAATAGGCAGAGATTTTTCAAGAACTTGAGTGCCTCATCTTTTTGCTCCTTCATAGTTTGGTATTCCCAGTCATGGTGGCTAGTGGATATCTGCAGCTTTAAAGGAAGGAGAAAGAGACGAGGCAAGTCTAGGTCAAGTTAACCCTGTATCATAGTTCTGGAAAAAACACTTCTCAAGTGACCTATACATGAGAACAGCATTGAATAGAGCACAAATGTTGAGGTAGCAAGGAGATAGACGCAGTCTGAGGGCAGAAGTGTGAATCATTCCCACCTATCTCTAGGCTACAGAGAAGAGTTAATATTTTCAAGAAAATATCCTGAAAGTAATGCAGGCAACCCTTATCCCCTTGACCTACATGGCAGAACTACTGAGAGTGATAATGTATTGCCCAAACATGTGACCTCCAAAATTATTCCTTCTTCATTTAACTAAGAGCCTGTGAAGATAAGCTTATTTGGGTTTTCTCTCAGAAAAAAAAAAAAGCATGACTAAAAATGGTTGGCTCTTTTCTGTTTGCCATTTGAGCTGGAACTGCCCTGGAAGGGAGGAACCTGCTCTCTACCTTCTTCTGAATCAAGAAAGTTAGAGCCAAGAGGTAGGTGGAGAGTGAATTCTGAGGAGTTAGAGAGCAGAGAGGGGCTGTCTTTAAAAACAGATTTTTCTTTGGTACATCCACTGATAGATAAGAATGCACTGGTAGACAGGTGAGCTGAATCTCCAGGATTCTGAATATGTGATTTCAAGGAGTACAGAAAATCAGAGAAAGACTTTCTCACAGAGATTTACAGAGTTACACTGTCTCAGTGAGTTTCGGAATATTTCAGAGAGTGAATCACAATGTTCCAGAGAAAGTTTACAAAGTTTAGAGATAGACATTTTCAATTTTTCTGAATGAGAATGAGAGAGAGAGAGAGAGAGAGAGAGAGAGAGAGAGAGAGAGAGAGAGACAGAGGTTGCACAGAGAATTTGAAAAACTTCAAAGAAAGGTTAAGAGTAGAGAAAAAATCAGATGAGGTCAGAGACTTTTCTGAAAAGCAAGCATTTGAATGCCAGAAATGTCTCAGAGAATATTCGACATCTTGCTGCATTGTAAACCTGTAGAGCCCCCCACTTTCACAGACAGTTTATTTGGACATTTAATTTTATAGACAGAATCAAGATGGGGTAGGAGGCAAGGGATGAGGACAAGCCTCCAAGGTCGGCTTCTCTCCAGACAGATCCTGGAATAAAGATGCTGGTGTACGATCCTGGAATAAAGATGTTGGTGTACACTCTTCCTCTCCCTTGTGGCCATTTCTTATACTACAATTCTGAAAAGGACAGCTTTTCATCAGAGCCACAGTTGTCTTAATCACCTGCTCTCTAAACCAAGGCCTGGTAAAACAATTCACATAAGAATCTTTCCTACAGCTATGTAATTTTAAAAAGATGTTAAGAAAGGTGTGTGTGTGTGTGTGTGTGTGTGTGTGTGCACGTGTACGCACACACTCACATGTGCCCATGTGCACAGGCACATTTACTCTGCTCTTGGCAGTTACCACCAACAAGGTCACTTCCCAGGGATCCCACTATGGGCAAGGTGCTTTATAATTGTTAACACAACCACTGACCCGTTGTTCTGAGACACTGAGCCTAAGGAAGTAAAGTCACTCATCTCAGATGAGGCAGCTAACAAACCAAAGCTCTTCAGTTCAAGTCTGGATGTGTCTTACTTCCTACTTCAGATTCCAGTCCTTTCCTCTGTTCCCAACTCCCTGTTCTCCAGGTGTATTTCTTTAAAGGAAGATATCTAGGGTCCACCCTATTTTTTCCAGTTATACAGTAAGTACAGGATACAATATACAACAGAAGCTTGGTGACTATCAATGATTAAAAATCTGATAGATCATGTATTTAAAAAATTTAGTATCTATCTGGACTTCATGAGTGGCTAGAAAGCCAACCCAGGAAATGGCAAAATGTTTACCCTTAACTTCCCCAGGCTTGGTGAAGCTAATGAAGAGCAGTCCACCTCCATTCATAGCGTACTAAAAAAGACAATTTTCCCCTCTCAGATAATAGAGATGTCAGAGACCCACTGCAGTGGGTAAACTTCTGGAGGTAATTCCCACAGGGAAGGGAAAGAATGGGAAGAAGCCACTGACCAGAGCTTTGAGTCTTCTCTTGCTTCACACAACGGACTATAACACAGTGAACTTCATGAGGCTTATAAGGGGCAGATCTCTCCCCAAGAGAATTCCCCTTTCCAATTGAGGAGAAGTGAGTCTCACAACTCCACTGAGGCAGTCAGGCTTCCAGCTGTAGAACAGAGTCCAGGTGATGCACTTCGTCTGGCCTCGAAAGCAGTGGGCATTTCCCAGGGGTTAGAATGGTGAGAATGGGCCAGAGAGATCCCCTAAGTGTAATGAAGGTGGAGAGCAGGGACAGAAGTCAGGAGACTCCAGGAACGGCCTATCCTGATACTTGCCATCTGATACTGGACAGGCAAGTGGAACTAACTGACTCCCAGTGTTTTCCCCTGAAAAATAAGAATCATAAATCATCTTCTATGAAAACAGAACCAAAACTTTCTGATTTCAACATTTATAGTATTAATTATACCATAATACCACATCAAATATTTTAAAATATCCTTTCTAAAGGTCAGGAACTAAGTTCAAATCCTTTAGCCCCATAACCTGTCTTAATGTATCCTGCACACCCTAAACAGTTGTGCCACCTGTGATGTTTAGAACTCTCACTCTCTTTACTGTGCTGTGCTCATAGAGGCTATTTTAGGATGTCACCTCCCCAGTGAGTCTGTGCAATCCCTGAGAGATATTAAGACTCCTTTTATTCTGAGTTCTTGCTGAGTAAACAGTGAGTGTCTACAGAATGCATGTTGAGGGGATCGTGAAGAAGCCCTTGTTGCCCATGTCTAAGGAGCTCAGGCCACAGTACACTGAGGGAGAAAGCAGGCTGACCTCATAGCTGGGAGTCTGTGGGGTTCATCTCAGGCCTGCATAGACTCGCCTTGTGGCCTGGAAACTTGCTGACTTCTCACAGCCTCAGTTCCTTTAAGTATAAAGTGGGAATAGTGATCCTTCTACTGTGTAGTAAGAACTACACACTAGCTCATGGGTAAAGACAATAAAAAATGTGCACTGTTCAAAATGTGGTATGGCTGGGAGATCCGAGTAACCTCCAGGATCCTTTCTTCTTTGTTTATGAATCTAAAAATTGGAGTATATTAACAGGACACATACTACCTAAAGTAATGACAGTATTTTCCATCTGTTATAGTCACTTTACTGTAACTGAGATAAAATACAAAATGCCCATAATTTAAGGTGGAAAAGTTTATTTTGGCTCAGGGTTGCAATGGATTTATTCCATGGTCAGACTTCATTTTATTTCCCCTCAGCTTTATTAAAGCATAATGAACAAATAAAAATAATTTATATTTTAATTGTGATAATTTGACATAAACACCATACATTAGAAAATGATAGCCTCAATCAAATTGATCTATACATCTATCACTTCTTATAGTTATCATTTTTGTGTGTGGTGAGAACATTTAGAGTTCACTTCCTTGGAAATTTCAAGTATAAAATATAGCACCATTAAGTATATTCACCATGAGAGGACCCAGCCCAGAGTGACTCAACGCAAAAACTATATATATATATTTGAGGAAGGCTTCTGCGTGCCACTTTCTTAAAAGAGCTTGATTGACACAGCCGCACCACTTCAGAGGAGCTCAAATCTTTGCAGCAGCTGCCACTACTTTCTCAAAAGAGCTCTGGTCTTCACAGTCAGCACAGAAAAGAAAATGAGGCTTAACAAAAGCTACAACTACTGCCCTTCGCTTTGCTCTTCACTGTTTACTGCGGCCATAAGCTGCTGTTATCTGCCTTAGAGCCAACAAAATGTAGGCTAAAACCTCCACTAACTGTGGGCCAAATAAATCTTTCCTTTCTTAATTTTAGGTGCTAGCATTTTGTCCCAACAATAACAAAAAATAGCTGAGACACCATGCTGTACAGCAGAGCACCACTCACTGATCTTCAGCTGAAAGTCTGAGCACACATCCTTCTTGAGGAACTTGTTTGCCCAGTTGTGTGAAGCAAGACGGCAGCCCTGTTCACTTTGAGCTGCGTCTCCCTTTCCACCTGTGCCCAGGAGCATGGGGAACTGAGCCCAGAGAGAGCTCTTCTTCAGTGCTGTCCCTCTGAACCCAAGTGGATGGGAGTGAGATTTGAGGGCATGCCCTGCCACCTCCCGAGGGTAAGGCCGGTGCTAACCCACTGCCTTGCCTGAGCTGTCTCAGCAGCTGTTAGAGGCCAGGCCAGAACTGTACCACACTCCGCATTCCAGGACCCAGAGGCTGAGAAGCCGAACCTCTGGAGGCTTGAGGAGGCTGTGCTGGGCAGGTAAGATCCAGCCATATCCAACAGGGGTAAGTTTATAATGACTAGAGTATATAACTTTCTCATTTCTCTTGTCTTTTCACAGTCCCTGGTTCTCTGATTTATGCTTCCATTAATCCTTCTTTCCTCTTGGAATTGAGCATCTAACTTGTCCCCCAGAAGCCATCTGGACATGGAAGGACTCCAAATGCTTAGCCGGCTGGGGGCTGGGGAAGGTCGCCATGAGGACGACAGTGGGTGCCCATCCTGGGCTTCTCAGACTGTGTGTTTTCCCCTGCAGGCCCTAGCCTTGCTTCTCTCCATCAGTGGCCATGCTGTGTGTGGATGAGGAGAATCACAATGTGCTGTGTTTGAGCTTGAATTGAATCAAACACAAGCATGTAAATTATCAGTATAATGCCTAGGTCCTGAGACCTGCCAGGCTGCTTTTGCCTACCACAAGAAGGTGATATAGAGTAGCTTTTAAGGTCAGACAAATCCAAATTAAAAACCCAAATAAGTCACAGAAACTAGCCAATAAATTGTTCTTATCTAAAAATGTGAAGAACGAGGCCAACTTGTATTGTTCATGTATCAATTGCGATCATATCTATGATTCAGCCTACATAGTTGTAAACATCAGTCTCTTTGGCACTCATTTCATTATTCTAGAGAAGGAAGCTGTCAGCAGAAAGCTCTTCCAAGGGTAGTTTTTCAGGAAGGACCTGTAAATACTCAGGGTGGAGGCCAGTAGTAGGTACACAGAGCCTGCCCAGCATTGTTCTTGGAGTCAGGAGTAAGAGGAGCACCTAGGCAGGTGCAGGAAGGGGACTTCCCTTCCTTGTGAAAGTTGGTTGTGTGGCATGAGGGAGGGTAGCAGAGCTGGGACCACTTGGGATAGTCATCATCAGATGGATGCCTGGCTCACAAGGACCCACCAGCAGGGCTTCCTTCCCTGGACAAAAGGTGCCTATCTGACCTATCCTGGTGGCAACATTAACCCCTTGCTTGGGATTGAACAAGGCTGCCTCTCACTCCTGGCTCCAGGCAGGGAATAGGTGGAGCTCTGAGTTAGAGGAAGAACCACTGAGGAACCAGGGAGACACCTGAGGAGGAAGATTCACACGCCAGCACACTTCCATCTCAGTGAAGCCAGCGAGGACCTCTCCCCTCCACTCCTTCACTCACTCTTCCCATCTCTGCCTCAGTGGCTACACCAACAGGAACTTCACTCACATCCATGCCCCACACTGCCCAAGAGGGAGTTTTAAGGCCGGGCAATCACTTCCCCTCCCTGACTTTGTCCCCGGGGTACATGAACACCAATGGTTAAGGTAGAAAGCACCTTGCAGGGATCATATCTAAGCAAAGAGCCCCCACGTCTTATTCATAGATAAATGGGGAGCACTCTGGGGTTGTAGATGTTTCAGGCTGGGAAACAGGAAGAGCTTCTAGGTGCACAGGGTGGCATGATTCAGAAATTGTAATGTCAGGTGCCTTACATGATCCGCCACTTCACTGTACGTTCGGAGCTGGTACTTTCTCTGCACGTCTTGTGCCCAGGAAGGGCTGGCTTCCTGCCCATCTGCCTTGGCGAGGAGGTCCTTGTCAGCTTGTCTCTCCCACTCCTCTTCCCCTCAGTCATCCACAGGCTGACTCTGTGTCTCAGCATTGAGTCAGACTCTGCTCCGTGGTGGCCCCAGCTGGGGGGCCATTGCTACACTCTCCACAGTTCCCTGCTGCATCTCCTGGAGCTGAGCTACACTCGGGAAGGGGCAGGCAGCCCAATATTCTTCCACTTCTTGAGAAAAAAACAAATATATATCCAAAGAAATGTTTTGTGTCCAGTTCTTAGTATATGCTTTACAGATCTTCCCCTCATTCATGTGTAATTTTGCATACTTTTCCTACATATGTTATTGTAGAAAATTTGCATAATATAAGATTTACTGTTTTTAACAATATGGTTCAATGCAATTAAAAATGCTAATTATATTGTGCAACAATCACAACCATCTGTCTCCATGACAACCTTTATCTTTCCAAACTGAAACTTTGAAACTACTTAACACATGAATTCTCCCTCCCCCAGAGCTGGGCAACCACTCTCCTCTCTGTCTCTATGACTGATTCCTCCAGGTAACTCAGGTAGGGAGAATCATACAATAGTTGCCTTTTCCTGACTATAGTTAGCAGAAACCCTTCAGATCCACCCATGTTATGACCTGTATTAGAATCTCTTCTGCTTTTGAAGCTGGATAATATTCCTATGTATGCATACATCTTGCTCATATATTCTTTAATAGATATTTGTGTGGCTTCCAATTTTAAGACCCTGCTTTTAGTTTTGTAGGGGCATATACCCATATGCCCTCCAGTGGAACAGCTGGTCAATGTAATACTGTGTTCAATTTTTTAAAGAAATTTCCATGTTTTCTATAGAGACTTCACCATGTTCTATTCCTATCAGTGATGCGCAAGGTCTCCAATCTCCACATTTCCTAACTACATTAATTTTGTAGTTTTTTTAAAAAATAATAATCAATGTATTAGGTGTCAAGCGGTATTCCATTTGTGGTTTGGTTCTTACTTACCTATGATTAATGATGTTGAGTATCTTTTCATGTGCTCACTGGCTATTCATGTAACTGTTTTGGAAAAAATGTCTGTTCAAATCCTTTTCTCATTTTATGATATACCTATTTATTTGCCTGACTTGAGTCAGCAGATTTCTTTATATATTCTGGATAATGATCCTCTATTAGATGCATGATTTACAAATACATTTTCTGAGTTACTCTATCCATCTATCTATCTATCTATCTATCTATCTATCTATCTATCTATGCTTTTCCTTTACATATTTTGTACAGGGTCTCACTATGAAGCTCAGACCCATAGTAATCCTCATGTTTTCAATCTCCCCAGTGCTGGGATTACAGGTACACACCATAATGCCCACACTCATCGCTGTTTCAGCATGCCCTGGGGGTGGGGCCGGCATGGCATGTGGGATCAGGGATCAAACCCTGATCTCTGTGCTTGCCAAAGCAGGTGCTTAGTCTGCTGAGCTATCTCCCTGGCACTTACTTTCTCTATTGACAGTGTCCTTTGATGCACAAATGGCTTTAATTTTTTTAATTTTTTAAAAAAAATTTATTTATTTATTTGTGTGTGTGTGTGTGTTTGTGTGTGTGTGGCCAGCTCAGCCCACCAGGGGGCGGGGCTGGCTGGCATGTGGTGCTGGGGGATTGAACCGCGGTTCCTGTGCTTTGCTTAGTTTAGCTTGTTCTAAGTAGGTGCTTTAGACCACTGAGCCATCTCACTAGCCCAAATGGCTTTAATTTTGATGAAGTCCAATTTATCTATTTTTTTTCTTTTATTGCTGTGTGTATGAAGAGGGGATTTCTGCCCTTATTACAAAATCCACTGTCATGAAGATTTTCACCTATCCTTGCTTCTAAGAGTTGTATCTTATTCTTCCACTTAGATCTTCTATTGATTTTGAGCTACTTTTTGTATATGACTGGAAAGAAAGGTGTAACTTTTTCCTTTTGTGTGTATAATGCAGTTTTCCTAGCACCATGCATTGAAGATTGCCCTTGATTGCCTCTGATTGGACAATCTTAACACCTTTGTCAAAAATCACTTCTGGGACAGGGGAGATGGCTCAGTAGAATAAGCGCTTCCCTGGCAAATGCAAGGGCCTGAGTTCAATCCCCAGTTCCCTTCCACCCCCCAAAAAAATCACTTCCCCATGTACATAAGGGTTAAATTCTAGGTTCTCTATTACATTTCATTGTTTTATAAGATGATCTTATACTAGTCTTTTTTTTTTTTTTTTTTTGGTGGAACCAGGGATTGAACTCAGGCCCTTGCACTTGCCAGGGAAGTGCTTATTCTACTGAGCCATCTCCCTGGCCCCATTATACTAGTCTTATACAGTATTGATCCCTGCAGCTTTCTATTAAATTTTAAAATCAGAAAATGTAAAACCTCCACCTTTAGTTTACTTAGTCATATGAAGTCACTTAATGGAGACTTGCATTTGTCATCCCAGAGCCCTTCTATAATTTTCTAAGCAGGTCAAGCCTCTCCTCTGCTTATAAAGCACTCGCAGTGATCTCAACAGGACTTTGCTGCCCGTCCTTCACTGCCCGTTCGCAGTGCTTCAGATAAGAGGGAAAGGGAGTATGTTCTGGGTGTTGATCGGCTCTGTGCTGAGCATGCCTGCGCCGCGCGGCGGGGAGTCTTGCCCTGGGTTGTGGATGATCACACGTGTGCTGCTGCCTCGGTGCCTGGACGATGGCCAAAGGTGCAGGAACGACAGCATGTGTATGCCCTTCACTGTCAGTCCTCTGGCGTGGCTTTCTGGCTCCGTGAGGCCTACTTGTTGAATGCCAACAACTGCCTCAAGTGTTTAGCCATGTTGAATGAGATTCTTTATGCCTGAATTTCATAATCTATGCTTTCCAAACAGAAAGTGTATACTGTTTCCTTGTAGACTCTGAGCGGCCTCTGTGCATGAATTCTTGGCTGCTTTTCAAGAATGTCCGAGGCTGAATTGATCTGTCCTATGTCGGAAGTCTGTTTGACCCAGTTAGACCATCTTTTGCTTATCCTTTTTACTTTCCTTAGTTTTTATGACACTCTGTACCACCAGTCTATCAGCTGTGGTCCTGGGATTCAGAATATCTACCGCAGCAACTTCCAAGTCTCTGTGCTCCTTCTGTCACCGCAGTGCCCTGAGTTGCCAGTCCTCTGGTGAGCTGACATGTTTTAGATACACTGCAAGAGCATCTGCTGTGTGCCCAGCCCTGCTGGTTTAGAATTAGGCCACATGTGCAGGGCTGGGGACTCAGCCTCAGGGACTGTTAAACTGACTATCTCAGGTCCTGGTCCTGCACATTTTCTGATGTGTCTGACACTGGCCCTGTTGCCTCCGCCCCTCTCATTTATCTGTGGAGCTCTTATTCTCCTTTTAATACCAGTGAAGGATGCTGCCTTTGCAAAGTGACTTGTCTGCCCTTGTGGCATCTAATGGTAATGAGCAGAAGACCTCTGAGTCCTTTCCAGCTGGGGACTAGCCTGACCTTCACCCAGATCAGTATCCTACTGCTTGGGTGTGGCCTGGCCTGGCCTTATGTTCTGGGCTAGGAAAACAGGGAAGAGGAGGTAAAGGGCTCTGCCTGTCACTTTTCTTAACCCAAAAAGGGAAGAGAAAAGTACCCAGCCCTGAACTTCTCTTGGATGCTATTGATGGAGGTGCAGGGTTAGTAGGACCCCTGCATTCCTCCAGCCTAGACCCTCACCTACATGGGCAGAGGTGCCTGTAGAGTGACAGTCCGAAGGCTGAAATCTCCCAAGTACAGGGTCAGGAGGACCACGTGAAGAAGTATGCCTGTGCCAGTGGCTGGGATCCTTGGCTGATGGCATCAGTGTTGGTTCTCTGCGTTAACCTCAGGAGCATGCAACTATTCAGGGTTTTCAAAGGTCTCAGAGGCTATCTTCACCTCACAGCTGCTGTGAGGCAGGCAAGACCTTGATGAGGACCTCTGGTTTAGAGACACTCAGCAGTTTGCCCAACGCCATCTGCATTTTGGCATGGAGTGCAGCTGAGAGTAGGAGCTAGGCTGCTTATACCCCAGAAGATGGTCTTCCCTTGCCCTGTGGATTCTTCCCTTTTCCCTGAAGGCTTCTTGCCTCAGCCCATTTCATCTGTCACAGAATAGGGGAGGAAGCATGGGCTGGGCAGCAGTAGAGGTGAACTCTGGCCCTGCTGTCATCACTGGCCCTACCTGTTCCTTGGAAGAAACAGCTGTCTCTTTCTAGGTGGTTTCCTAGACTGTAGGAAGGGAACATGACACCTGGAGGTTAGGGGTGGGAATACATACTGTGCTTACTGCCTAGCAAGGATACCAGCATCCTCTTCCTTTCTTTCTGTCTCCTTCTCACTGGGCAAAGAGAAATTGCCTTGAGCAGGTGATTATGAACCCAGAAGTCCAGTCCCAGCTCCACCTGTATGTCCCTAGACCTCAATTTCCCTTCCATAGAGCTTGAAAAATCATGATTTTTAAAGACCTTTGCAGCTCTGGGACTCCAGACTTCTTTCCTCTTCCTTTTCTTCCTCTGGCTCCTGCACTTCGGGGGTAGGAAGGTGACCTACTCTGTGTGTGTGTGTGTGTGTGTGTGTGTGTGTGTGTGTGCCTGTGCATGCATATGTGTATGAAGATGTGTGTTAGTGCACACTTACGTGTGCTGGGGAATCATGAAGCTGGTTGGGTGGGGGTGAGGAGACAAGAGGTAGGACGTTGCTGTGTGCTTGCAGGTCTCTAAGCTCTGAGCTCCTCAAAGGCTCACAGCACTTGGGGCTGTTTAATCATTACAGGAAGGGAATGAAGCGGGAGAACCTCAAAGTCCAGCCAGCTAGGGACTGACACCAATAGATGAGTGAGGAGCTGGCTGAAAAGGGGACGAGATGAAGACGGAGACAGCACTGCGCTCAGCCCTGGGCTCTGATAGTGGCCTGCACACCTATGACCTCGTGGTTGTGGTCATCTACTTTGTCTTCGTCATTGCCGTGGGGATCTGGGTGAGCAGGGTCTGAGGCCAGGGCTGCGGGGAGGAGGGGAGCACAAACACCTCTCACCGGAGCTAAAGGCAAGAGCGAGAGGCAAGCAGATCAGAGGATCTGGGAGGAGCAAAATCTTCAGGAATCAGCCCCGCCCATGCCCCCTTTCCATAGAGGGCAGACTGAGGCTCAAAGAAGGCTGTGGTCCATCTGAGGTCACAAAGCGAGCTGCAAGCAGGCCCGCCTGGAGCCCCTACTCCTGCCTCCCTGCATCTGGCTACCTGCTGCCTTTGGCCTCAGCCATGGCTGGCTACCCTGAGCCGCACTCCTGCTTTCCTCCCCAAGTCGAGGTCCACAACCCTTTGCCTCCCCCCAGGCTTCTTTAGGTTGAGATCAGGGAGCTGACACCCTGTGTTCTCAGGGAAGGAAGGTGCAGGCATATGCCAAGGTCCCTCTGCTCCTGCTCTCCCCTCCAGGGAGCTGTGGCAGGGCCCAGGGTGCTGAGCTCAGGTCCCAAGTCCAGCCCTGTGAGTCAGTTTTCTCTTAAAGACCTGAAGAACAGGCTGAAGCTGTGGGAGGACAGGACGCTGGTGAACACCGGCCTGGAGCCAGGCACACAGGTGGCAGGTGACAAACAGCTGCTGTCATCACCCTGCTCTGCAGTGCTTTCAGCACCTCCAGAGCCTGCAGGGCAGACTGTGACCTGACTCCTGAGCCTGGGAGCTCAGGAACCTTCTCTGAGCCTCCCTCTCCTGTTCCCTCCCTAAGAGGAAGTCACAACACACACTGCCTCCCAGCACTCCTGGAGGAGGAAGTGGGCAGACAGGTGCTGGTAGCTCCAGAGAGGCAGCTTGAACAATAAGAGGCCAACTCTGCTGTGAGTTGGACAAGGCACTCCCTGGGGCAGATGAGTGCCTCATCTGAGAAATGAGTTTGTGCTACTCCTGTGGCCTCCAAGAGGACCAGAGATGAGCAAAGGAGGTTCAAGCACCAGGCCCTACAGGAGTTACCACTCCCTAATCATTTTCCTTTTCCTTTCTCACCCTCAAGGGAAGCCTCAGAGGCAGGCAGAGATCTATGGTCTTACAAGAATAAATTTTTGAGTTCCCCCTTCTCTGCACAAAGCCAGCCCTCATCCATGTCTCAAGAATTCTCTTGTGTACCTCTAGTCCTTCATTTTTAGAACATAAGCCTAAACTTCTGGGGTCCTGGAAAGAGCTTAGTAGCATGATTTGACATCAGACCAGGCAAAGTGAAGACCCTGAACAGCATCACTAATCCTGTCCAGGACCCAGAGTCCCATAGTTCCATAGTCAGACTGGTTAGCACAGCCATTGTCTGCAGTGTGGGAACTTGGCTGGGAGGAGTGGAGAGGCCAGCTCAGGAGAGGCAGCCTCTGTGCACCTGAAGCCCAGACACTACATGGTCTCCTGAGAGCTGACACAGGGGTGGAAGGAAAAGGACATGCCAGTGACCATCTGGTACCCTTGCACAGCACTTTGCTATTCACAAAGACCTGGGCATCCTTCTTTGCTCTGCGCCTCAGCCCTGAATGAATGCTGAGAATCATAAAGATGAAGCAACTCTCACAAGGACCTGTAACTCAAAAATGATGAAGCAGTCAGGCTGTCCATCCTGTCTCAGTTCTTACCTTTGTTGTCCCCATGGTGCCCCCACCTGGAAGGAAATCTGGGGTGAGGGGTTATAGACAGCAGAAAACCCCTGGAAGTCCTTACTATTGCCATTTCCTTTTCAGGCATCAATCCGTGCAAGCCGAGGGACCATTGGTGGCTATTTCCTGGCAGGCAGGTCCATGAGTTGGTGGCCGGTGAGTGCTCCCCACCCCCCAGTCACATCCTTCTGTCATCTGAGCCTTCTTCTCCTATTCCCTCTCTAAGAGGAAGTCACAGCACACACTGCCTCCCAGCATGTCCGGAGGAAGAAATGGGCAGACAGGTGCTGGAAGCTCCTGACAGGCAGCTTGGGCAATAAGAGGCCAGCTCTGCTGTGAGTTGGACAAGATACTCCCTGGGGCAGATGAGTGCCTCATCTGAGAAATGAGTTTGTGTTACTCCTGTGGCCTCCAAGAGGACCAGAGGTAAGCCAGGAAGTACAAGCACCAGGCCCTACAGGAGTAGGGCCAAAGCACAGCATCCCTTTGGGGTTTCCAACTCTAGAGCTTCTCCCACCCCAATCCATCCCACAGCCTGAGTGGCCTTACTAACACAGCTTGACAAGTCTCATTAGAACCTCTTGGAGGTGGGTCCTAGGCCAGCTCTGGACCTACAGAAATAGATCTAGAGTGTCCCCGAGTCTTCATGAGCCCCAATCTCTCCCATTAGACCACGTGCATTTCTATTGGTCCTCAGAACTAACCTTTTGCTCCATGGGATGGAGGGAGGCTGGCCCTGCCTGGAGAACTAGTAATGGAGCCATCAGTTCCAGTGGGAAATGAAGCCGTGCGCACACTCAGGCACACCAGCCTCACACTCACACCGACTCAGGCGCCCATACCCGTACATTCCTACAGACTCGCATTCACACACACACCTGCACGCTCATATACTGTCCCATTCACACCCTCATATACACTCACATGCACTCTTACACATTTCTCCACTCCTTCCCGCATGCCCTCTCCCACTCCCACTCACGATCGTCCTTGTACTTCTTCCCCTCACGCTCACGTACTCAGTCAAGATCCCACTCTCACACACTCATGATCACACACTCACAGAGCACTAAACCCCTGGGAATAGTCATGCTTAGTTAGTACCTCTGAAAGCACAGCCCTGGACTTAAGCCGACGCAGGGTAAGGAGAAAGCCGAGGCCCACACTGACTGCACTTCTGGCCTGCAGAGGGCAGAGCTCTGGCCCTGGGGAAAACCAGGCCTCCTCCAGGAGATGTCCTGACAAGGCTCAGGAGACCTGAGAGCCCCCTACAGTGCACACAAAGGGCTCAGCAAGATGGGTCGCTCATGTCCACGCCTTCGCACTGCTCTGCCACCTCTTGCCGGAAGGCCTCAGTCGTCAGACTTATTTCACTGCCCACTTTCAGTGGCCACCTGAAGAACACACAGGAGGAAGGGAGTCCCAGACCCCTAGAGGATGAGGGTGAGGCTTTGCGAGATGGGATGATTCTAGGAGGGACACAGAGTACAAAGCTGAGCACAGCTCTTCCCTCCGGCCTGGGCCTGCTCCGAGGTCTCCCAGCCTCCCCCAGGCTCCAGGGCCCTCCACCCCTGCCCTCTCCCCTCCCGGAGTTGGATGCCCTCTAATAATAAGCAACAGCAGAGTAAGTGCTTAGCAGGGCCAGGAACCTTCGCGCCGTGGCTGTGGGAGCTGGACAGGCAAGCTTTGATCTTCATCTGGTCACCTGGGCGAGTTTCTTATCAATGCCTCAGTTTTCTCAAAAAATATGGTGAGAATTGTTAGTTTTCTGCTACTATAACAAATACCTAAGATGATCAACTTGTTAAAAGAAAGATTTCTTTCCACTTTTCCACTTATCTCATGGCTAGGAAGTAAAAGAAACAAAAGAAAATTCTGGGTCCCATAATTCCCTTCATGGCACGCTCCCAGTGACCTGTGATTTCTCACTACTCAGACACAGTAACATCAGTACTTACCTTTATGGGGTTGCTGTGAGGCTTAGCCGAGCTCACATGCACAGGGCTTGGGAGCTGCGTAAGTACTGCCTGCTGAGATTAGTGTCATTGTAAGTTCCATTAGCATCCCTTCCATCATCTCAAGAGCTGGCCTCCTTTCTGGAGAACAATAAACAACTCAGAGGCTGGCCTGGCCTGTGCTCAGCCCCTGGACCCCTCCTCTGCCCAGCCTTGTCCTGGAGACTGCAGGAACAGGGCATGGGGGTTCCTGTCAGAGTGGCCCCCAGCCCTGCCAGTGTCCTTCTGTGGCCCGTGCAGAGCTCTATCCTGCCTACCCAGCCCCGCTGCCCTGGGCTGCTCTCTGGTCCCTGCTACCTCTTCCTCACAGCCTTGGAGCCTGTGGCTTCATTTGTCCTAACCTTAGTGCCTTCTTCTATAAATTTAGAAGGTCAGTGTTCTTCCCTCTGGCTATTTGTGGAGATTAAAGGCATTAGGACAGATAAAGTGCCTGGTACAGTGCCAAATAAAAGTGATCCCCCAATACTATCTCTCATGCTAGTGGTTCTGACCCCAGATTAATTCAGATTAACCCTGACCCCTGCTCTTTGACCCCACTTGTGCCTTGCAGATTGGCGCATCGCTGATGTCCAGCAACGTGGGCAGTGGCTTGTTCATTGGCCTGGCTGGCACAGGGGCTGCCGGGGGCCTTGCTGTGGGCGGCTTCGAGTGGAACGTAAGGAAGCTGCGTGGCTGCTCCAGCAGAAAGAGGGTCTGAGGGTCGCCCCCTTCCCTACCTTAGTGCTTAGGGAAGCCTCAGAGGGCCCTGGGAGCTCTCTGGTGAATGGGAGCTCATGGTACAGATGAGGAAACTGAAGCCTGGAAGAGGTGGGTTGGGTCGCGTCCTGGCTCCCCTACCTCCCTGCCCAGTGATCTCGCACAGTACACAGTCTCTGGTAGGAGGCTTCCCTGATGTTGTCTACAATCTCCACACCTTCTGATTTTCCCAGGCAACCTTCCTGCTTGTGGCCCTTGGCTGGATCTTTGTCCCTGTGTACATTGCAGCTGGTGTGGTCACTATGCCAGAGTACCTGAAGAAGCGATTTGGCGGCCAAAGAATCCAGGTGTACATGTCTGTGCTGTCTCTCATCCTCTACATCTTCACCAAGATATCGGTGGGTATCATTCCAAGGCCGCCTGCCTGTCTCTCTGCATCGCCATATGCTTGAGGCTGACGGGAAGCTCACATTTACAATTTGGATGGATGCATGGATGGATGGATGGATGGATGGATGGATGGATGGATGGATGGATGAGAGACTGGAAAGAAGGGGAAAGGAAAAAAGAAGCAAAGGAAGAAAAGAGAAAGTGAGGAGAAAGGAAGGATGGCTGGATGGATAGAAGGAAAGATAAAAGAAAAGAAGGCTATATCCACACATGTTTCATATATGCTCCGCTGCAGCACTGAGACAACCAGAGAAGAATGATGTTTTAAGTATGTGCCAGCTCTTATTGAAAAAAAAAAAAACCCACAATCTGGAGTTCATTTTTTCATTTATCTTGCTATTAATTGGTTCTTCATCAGCAACTGTTCATTATGTGCCAGGGAGAAAGAGCTAATGGCCCTGTCCCTGCAGACTGACATCTTCTCTGGAGCCCTCTTCATCCAGATGGCTTTGGGCTGGAACCTCTACCTCTCCACAGCTATCCTGCTGGTGGTGACAGCCATCTACACCATCACAGGTAGGTCCAGGGCTGAGCACCAGAGCAAGCTGGAGAGGGAAGTGGCTGACTGGCAGACAGAAAGAACAAGCTGTGGGACACAGTGGGACAGGAAAAAGGAGATGAAGGTGGCGGTAGAGGGAAAACTCTACCAGATCAAGACCAGGCCGGCACTGGAAAAGGCCACCTGCCTCAGGGCAGGTTGGGAAGCTGCTGTCTGGGCTGGAGGAATGGTGCGCTGCCACAGACCCACTCCTGTTTCTTACAAAATGTCTCACACAGGGCTGGGCACCTTGGGCCGCCAGCACAGGACAGACAGACAAACTTAGTTAGGATGGTGGGACAGATAAAGCTTGGGCATTTGGGTAGAATGAAGGAGGAGCAAAGAGAGAGCCCTGCTGGTGGAGCCAGCAGCACAAGCAAAGGACAGGACTTGAGTCGTTGATGGCATCAACGAAAAGCCAGGGCATGATGGCCATGGTGAAGCACTATTAGGGACAGGAAGAGCCACATGAAGAGGCTGAAGTGTGGCCAGGCTCTGTCCTCCTGGGTGGGGAACAGGGAAGTGCTAGATTGTGGAAATGCAGGTGACCAAAGCCCTTTGCTGAAAGGCCATGGTGTCACTTCTGGTCCCTCAGTGTGGCCAGACAGAGGCGGGTTGCAGAGTGCAACCCCTGTTGGTGCTGGCTGATGTGCCTCTTCTTGGGTCCCAGGGGGTCTCATGGCCGTGATCTACACAGACGCTCTGCAGACGGTGATCATGGTCGGGGGAGCCCTGGTCCTCATGTTTCTAGGTAAGGAAGGGGCCTGAACACGCTCACCCTCACCCCTTAAATTCTTCCTTGGGGCGTTTTTTTTTTTTTTTTTTTTTTTTTTTTTTTTTTTTTTTTTTTTTTTTTTGTTTGTTTGTTTTTTTTTTGGTGGCCGCTCAACTTGTCCTGGCGGTCAGGGCTAGCATGGCATGTGGTGCCGGGGATTGAACCACGATCACTTGCTTTCCCTAAAAAAGCTTGCCTAAGCAGGCACTTTAGACCACTGGGGCTATCTCACCAGCCCTCGGGGCTACTTTTGACACCTCCATGGCTCACCTGGAACTTTCCTCATTACAGTCCTGCCTTGTCTCCAAGTCAGGGCTCCTGAAAGGCAGAATTCCCTATTCCAAGGTACAGGTCTTAAGCCCGAGCCCCCTCTCCCTTCCCACTCTCAATCGTCAGGTGGGTTCCAGCCTAGAGCCCCACGTGGGGCTGGGGAGCATCAGCTGGGTGGGTCCCAGGAATGCTCTCTCACCGCATCTCTCTTTCCACAGGCTTTCAGAAGGTGGGCTGGTACCCGGGCCTGCAGCAGCTATATAGGCAGGCCTTCCCTAATGCCACAGTCCCCAATACCACTTGTCACCTTCCACGCCCAGATGCCTTCCACCTGCTTCGTGATCCTGTGAGCGGGGATATCCCTTGGCCAGGGCTCATTTTTGGGCTCACAGTACTGGCCACCTGGTGTTGGTGCACAGATCAGGTAAGGTGCCCACCAGGCTTGGCCTGGCCCACTAGCACATGGGGTGACTTCCTGCAGGCCATACAGGCATTTGGAGGTGTAGAGGTTGGATTTTCCTCTGGGACTGGAGTAGGACACAGTCAGAGACCAGGGTCGGGGCTCACGTGCGGCCCCCGATCAGCACGGCTCCACTGTTATTGCCATTCCAGGTCATCGTGCAGAGGTCTCTGTCTGCCAAAAATCTGTCCCATGCCAAGGGAGGCTCGGTGCTGGGGGGGTACCTGAAGCTCCTCCCTATGTTCTTCATTGTCATGCCGGGCATGATCAGCAGGGCACTGTACCCAGGTGAGAGCGAGGCTTCTTTCTGGACCTGGGGATTCAGTACCAAGGGGGGCTTTCCAGAGAAGCTGCTCCTGGGCAAGATGGACCAGGGGAAGGCTGCAGGGGATGCGATCTTACTTTTAAGATCCCACTGTAGGCAGTGCAGAACTTAAAGGTCAAGCATAAGCATTCCAGTAGCACAAATTTGTATCTCAAAGCTATTTTTTTATTTTTTAAAGAGAGTACAAAATAGTGTTAAAATGAAAAATTATGATACAGAATTTCACTTAACAAAGTAATATGAATTTCACAGTATTTATTGTAATACATAGTGTTGTCTCCCAACCAGTTATTCATATTACCAGATATATACATGCAAAACTGGAAAAAGAAAGAAATCTATAAGAAATTAAGAGGAGAAAAAGGAGAAACAATTGAAAAAAGGAGACAAAACAAATGAAGCATTATCCGCTCCTTTCCACAGACCAGCAGAAAAGCACAGTACAGTTGTCCAAACCACCCTGCTTACATATATAGATAAATCTCTTTCCCCAATTCCCTCTTCTGTCCTTCTCCTCAACTCGGTTAACTCTTTTTGCTTGATTCAGTTCATTTGCCTTTACCAGTATTATACCTTTCAGATTCCATTTTCTCTTTCATGTTCTCACACCAAGGAGACAATATGATGTTTGCAATGCCAGTCTGATTTATTTCACTTAAGAGTATGGTCTCAATGCTATTTTAAAACCCTGCTTCCTCTTTTGAAAAAAGGCATTTTTGGACTCTTCCAAGAATATTTTCCTTTATCAAGATATAAGTCATAAAGCTCAAAGCAGTCTATACCATGTTGTAGAATAGTATGCATCTTGGACAGGAAATCCACCCAACACCCAACACTGCTCACCCCTTGACCTTCTAGACAAAGTCAGAGTCTCCGGTGAACATTTCCCCATAGTTTCAGAAGACAAATGCTGGGCTGCCCTGAGAGGCGCAGAATCCCACTGCTCCAGCTGCTATCCTCTTTTCTGCAGATGAGGTTGGCTGTGTGGATCCTGAGGTCTGCCAAAGAGTCTGTGGGGTCCGAGTGGGGTGCTCCAACATCGCCTATCCCAAGCTGGTCATGGCTCTCATGCCCATTGGTGAGTTGCGTCTTAGCACTGCACTCTGCCATCCCCTTCAGTCCTCCCTGACGAGGAGGGATTGTGCTATGGATGGATGGGAAGAGGGAAGAGAAAGGCTCATTTCTGTACCCCTGCCCACTGTGCACACAGGCACAGCCACACATTCCCAAGCATTTGTACAGTGCCACTTGTGCCTGGTGCAGGAGATGTGCAGATAAGAGGCAGGTCCCAACCCTCAGGCTTTGTGCCAGTCTACAGGGTTCCTGGGCTTGGCCAGGGCACTGGACAAGGTGACCTGGGGATAAGGAGCAGAGAGGGAGCACATTAGACAGAGTGGAGTGGCACAGAAAATGTTGTTCTAAGAAGGAGGTGATGTGGTGAAAACACCCAGGAGAGGGCTAAATGAGAGGAGTACGGTGTGGACCCAGTGGCTAGAAGCAAGGAAAATGACCTTCCTAAGAGGTCACTGCAGCCCAGCCTTCTTCTGGAATGGAGCCCTTTCTCACTGAGGGAGGGGAGGCCAGAGCAGGGATGATGAATTTGGGCTTGAGAAGAATCATGCAGCCTGGAGGACTCAGCAAGGGGCAGGCTCAGTGAGCTAGGGTGGCATCAGTGAGGTGTCTGCAGGGGTCCAGGTGATGGGCGCTAGTGGCTTGACCAAAGGGGCGACCTTGGCAATGGAGAGAAGGCGTCTAACGATGGGCATGAAGCTGAACTAGCAGGACTTGAGCTGCTGGATTTCAGCAGGGAGATGAAGCCGAGAGGGCTCCCAGGCCTTTGTCTCCCAGGTGGGTTTACAGTACTAGTGAGATCGCGGTGATGAAAGGCAGCGGTCAGTGGGCCTGTTCCTTCCTTGCGGCAAAATGAGATGCAAATCAGAGGTACTGTGGAGATGGCGTGAGGCCCAGCTAGGACAGAGCAGCTCAGAAGCGTGATGCATGGAGGACAGCAGAGTAAGGAGGCCAGGGAGGGGCCTGTGGTCCTAGGTTCTGCTGGGTAACCAAAAGCTGTTACCACAGAGGGTGGCAGAGGGCTCGCAGGAAGATGAGCACCTACTCTGGGAGCCCTTGAGTCCAAGACACCTGAGAAGCTTCCAGAGTGACACCAGGACTTAGTTAGATATACAGATTTGGGCCTGACGAGGCTGAAGAGGGGCCAGAGCAGGAAGTCACCTCCCCAGTGATGAGCTCAGTCATTAGAGCCAGAAAGACTTCAGAGACCAGTTGGCTCTATTCGCCATGGTCCAGGTAAAAAACAGGCCCAGGATGGGGAAGGAATTTGTCCAGTGACCACCTAGTTAGCTGGTTACTTGCACAGCCAGGAAACAGCTCCAAACTTCTGCGTCCTAGGCTGGGACTTTAGCCCAACACTGCAAACTGGTGGTACAAAACACTGAAAAAGAAAAAAAAAAAAAGGCACAAAATACAAAATAGAACATAAGGGCCAAGATGATAGCTCAGCAGCACAAGTGCTTTCATTGGCAAGTGCAAGGTCCTGAGTTCTATTCCTGGTTCCCTCAAATCAATCAATCACAAATGAACAAAATACAAAAAAGGCACTGGCCATGGCCCTCAGCCCCAGGACTCCACTAATGATCTGCTGCTGAGAAAGACAGATTGCAGTATTAAAGGTGCAGACCCGCATAGAGCAGCCCGTGTCACACACCTCACCATATAGATGAGGAAGCCCAGGCCATGGCAGGGCCAAGGAGTTGTCCAAGACCCACAAGGCAGGGGAGAGGCAGAACCTGGCCTGTGGTTTCCCAGGCCTCCTGACTCCTTGTGTGTGCCAGAAGGCAGCATCCTCCCACCCAGCCCAGCCCAAGGCCCTGGCTCTGCGGTGGCCTCCTGGCCGGCAGCGCTGCTCTTTCAGGACCTGCTGTCTCTCACGCCTCATCTCTTCCTAGGTCTGCGGGGCCTGATGATCGCGGTGATCATGGCTGCGCTCATGAGCTCCCTCACCTCCATCTTCAACAGCAGCAGCACGCTATTCACGATCGACGTGTGGCAGCGCTTCCGCCGGAGGGCCACCGAGCAGGAGCTGATGGTGGTGGGCAGGTGTGTGCCTGGCCTGCACCACGGTGGGCCTTGCTCTGTTTTCCTGGCCTGGGGTGCCCTGGGAGAGGAACTGGGGCCCGGCTTGGGGCAGCACTCAGGGCACTGGGGGACCTCAGTTGGGTCCCTCCACCTCTGGACCACTCCTGCCCTCCAGAGTAATGGAGAGAAGGCACCCTTGCCTGTCTTTGACTTTGCCTTGGAATGGATCCGTGGGGTGACTGACAGGTAACAAAATCTTCCAGAAGAGAGAGGTGAAGAGTGCGAGTGGGAGGAAAGGCCGCTCACCCCAGGGCCTTTCACGTCAACTCCTCCTGCTACCCCGGGTCAATGGCAGAGTTCAGTCCAGGGCATCAGACTCCCTCCAGATCCAACCCCTGAACCCCCGGGCCACACCCTCGTGCTGGGACCCCGGAGGGCCGGGAGGCTCACCGTGTGATGAGCAGGGTGGTCGCGGGCGATTCACACTACACTAGCAGGGCGCCTGCCTCACTGGAGCTGTTCACAAGAAAGTTGCCTCCAAATGTTGCAGAGCCTCAAACATCTCGAGACAGAACTTGAACTGTGCCTTGTAGGCATCACTTACCTTTTAAAATCAAAACTGGGCAGTTAATTCGTCTAGTTCTCCATAGGCTGGGAATTTATACCTTGATTCGGGCTAAGAGGGCCTTTCTGAGGTCTCTGCTTCATAGTTTAAGGCTCCCTTATCACCGCCCCTCTGGCCTGAGGCCCTGAGCTCACCTGCTGGCTCTTGACGTCTCCCTGCCTCCCCTCCCTCGCAGTTATCACCCGGGTGCCTCAGCTGCCTGCTCCTCTCTGCAGTCCAGCCATAGCCTCAGGAAGCGAGCTCCCAGGATCTGAGAGTAGGACAAGACGAGGGGGAGAGCAGTGGCGAGGCCACCTGGGTAACTGCTGCTGTCTTGGAGCTTGAGAGAAAGAAAATAAGAATAAGGACAAGTGTGCAAAGAGAGGCTTTGGAAAGGCTTGCTGGGGCTTACATCATCAATCAATGGGGTTCTGGCGCCATCTCCTGGCAATATGCATTATTGCACCTAGCGCGTCCAAGAAAAAGATTTGTTGGTTGGTTTTTTGATGTTGTTTTGGGTTTGTTTTTGTTTTGTTTTTTAAATTAATTTTCTCATCTACAAAACCACATCACCAGCACACTTTGACTTAAGATTGAGTAAGGATCAGTTTATGTGGAGTCGGAAAGGGAAAATGGCACCTTGAGCTCAGTTCCAGTGTGAGGGAGGAAAGGTCCGAGTTGAAGGAGCCCGGAGAAGGGAGAAGTGCGCGGGGCTGGAACCACCAGGCAGCTGTGCCCTGCATGCAGCCTAGAGGCTGGGGAGGAAGCATCGCAAGCAGAGGCCCGAGGCCTTTTCCTACTCTGGGCGGGGTGAGGCGGGGGATTATTTCTTCAACTGCGGGCAGGTGACGTCATGATTGCCAAGGAGTCCAGGGTGCAAATATCAAGTCTAGAATTCCGAATTTCTCAGATTCTCAAATTCTGATTTCTGGTACATTGACAGTCTGAACATCTGTATTTGAGATTAGGAGCTTCTCACCTGTGACTCAGAGGCCCCTCTTCTCCCTTCCTCGTGCCTGTGCAGCGCCTTCACGACCCCTGTGCTCTCCCGCAGAGTGTTCGTGGTGTTCCTGGTGGGCGTCAGCATTCTCTGGATCCCCATCATCCAGAGCTCCAGCAGTGGGCAGCTCTTCGACTACATCCAGTCTGTCACTAGCTACCTGGCGCCGCCCATCACTGCCCTCTTCCTGCTGGCCATCTTCTGCAGGAGGATCACGGAGCCTGTGAGTGTCGCCTTCCCGTCTCTTATTCCCAGCAGAGCCTCTGGAGTCCGACTGTCAATCACCTGGTCTCTGAGCCATGAGGGAAAATGCATAGCCAGTGCTGGGAGTCCCTCCTCCTGACCCTAGGGTGGGTCTGCATTCCTTCATTCACACAGAAAACGTCAAAGAGTTGGATTATGGCAGCACTAGGATGTAGTGGCCCACAACGTTCACATAGGTCTGCTGTTGCTGGGCTTCAGAAAATGGGATGATAGAGTAACCAATAATAGTAGAGCACAGGGCTACTGGGAGATTGAAATACACACATTCTAACTTAAGGGCTTCCTAGGGTGAGGTTGGGGAGGGCTTCCTGGAGGAAGTGACATCTGAGCTGAGACCTGAAGGGTCAGTGGGAGGAGAAGAGTGTTCCAGACAGGAGGAGCAGTCTTGGGAGAGTGCAAGGCAGACGGGAGGTCATTAGGTTTTTTATGGGCAGCAGCAGCGTGGCAGAGAAGCAGAAATAAAGGGAGGGATCCTTTATTAATTCTAAAGACACAGAGAGGGTCAAGGGCAAGGAGACGGGGAGACTTGAGACAGGGAGACTGAGACTTTCTGGACTTTCCTTAGGAGTGGTATTTGAGGAGCAGTTTCAATGACACACAAGAAGCTGATTGGAGGCTCCTTTGTGTGGGCAGGAAAGGTAAAAGGAATTTGCATCCAGGGCTGGAGTGGGGAAGAAGGAAGTGTTCCCTGGGAAGATAAGCTGTTGTTTTGCGGATTTAGCTATTTTGAAACTAGATCATAATAATTCAGCAGTTTGTACTCAGGCCAGAACCTATCATTCCCATCTTTTAGTTGTAATGAAAGGGCTATGAATTTCTTAGACTGCTTCCTGCTGAACAGGGGTGTTGTTTTAGGGGTAAGGAGGTTGACAGGATGGGGGTTCATGCTTATATAGAAACTAGTGCTAGGTGTTTCCATCATAAAGAAATTTATCATTAGTGAAGTTTCAAACCCAAGATTGAATAAATCTTGTGTGGCACCTGGAAGTCATCTGGGCAAATGGCCCAGAGTCTGGCAGTGAGCTAGACTAGCAGAAAGAAGGCAGTCAGACACCAGATGGAAAATCAACACATTAGTTACCCTAGAGTTTTTGAACCCTTAGTTAGGTGGACATGTGTAGGGGATTGGAGTTGTGAAGACCATTCAAGGGACAAGGGCTCAGGATCAGGAAGAGCAGAGTTGTCAGGTGGAGTTGAATTGTCTGGGCATCACTTGGCCTGAGTGATGTGGAACCAGGAGAGCAGGCTGGTGACTTTTACTGCTGTTGCTATTGAGAGGACGACCAGGTGGGGGCCTGTCCACGTAGAATCTCATCCAGTAGGCTTAAGATATATTAAATCTCCAGGAAATATAGATGGTGCAATTGAGTGGTATCTATAGGTTGTGGGAGGCAGACATCCATATGTTGTCACTGCAGGTATTAGACGAAGAACAGAACAGAAATGTAATCAGTGATGGGAGGAAGCTTATCAGGAGCAGGAAGTTATGAAGCAGAAAAGGTCTTCCATACGTGAGCTCTAGTGGACTTATGAAGTCCATCAGACTTCCATGGGGGTCATAGGGAGTGCCCTAAGTCTAGTTAGAGCTGAAGGAGGGAGCTGAGGCCAAATCAGGTGCAGCTCCAGGGTAAGTCTGGTGAGTTGGGTCTTTAAAAGCCAATTTGCCTCTATTCCCTGTTGGTGTTTAGGGACTATTGGATGTTGGGCAACACAGAGAAAGGCTGAGGGATCCCTGAAGCAAACTAGCCCAGGGGTACTCTGGGTAGCATGAGTAGGACTAGAAGTGTCCCCAGAGTATATGGTTGACAAGAGAAAAGAGAAGAAGGAGGGAGGAGCTGGCAACACTTTGAGGTTAGGTATGTGGAGTGAGTGCTGTGTGGAGAGACATGGAAGAGAAGAAGCGCTTTTGGAAGCGATTTTCCATGAGAGGTGTAGGGCAGGTTGGGATCACAAGTAAAATATGGGTGAAAAACAGTGTCTGGAGTGAGCAGGGAATGGACCTTGTCTGAAGGGGTTGTGCAGGTTGACCACCAACACCCACTATGAAGACTGTAGATCTAATACAGTGACCTGAAAACTTAGGAATAATATTACATGTGGCTCCCATATCAACAAGAAAAGAGTGTCCTATCTGAGATAACTAGCAAGACAGGGCAGTCACATTTCTGGTGAACTTCAAGCTTATAGATGGGACCAGGTCTCAGCAGTGGCTGAAGGTTGGGGCAGGCTTGTGCCCAGTGTCCTTCCTTGCCCCACTTGAAACATGGTCCAGGAGGAAATCAAATGACAGCTTTGTTTAGGCTCACCTTCATCTTGTCAAGGTCATGCTTTGATGGGAGTACCGAGTGGCATAGCCAAAAGTTGGCATTTGTGTATAGTTAATTTTTGTCTCTATTATTAAAGACATGAGAAACCAAATTAGGTAAGTCTCTCTATATGGTTCGAGGACTGAGATCTCTTTTTAGCTTGGCATAAATGTCAGGAGCAGATTGGAATATAAAATAGGAATTAATAACAATTATTTCTTCAGGAGAATCTGGATCTACATTAGTATACTTAGTTCAGAACAATGCACTTAATTATTGAAATTTTATGTGAATATTGAGCACCTTAAAATATAAAGTATAACCAGAAAAGTGTTGTTTCTTACCAACCATGGATGTTCTAGAATTTAAATCACTGCGGAATGTTAACACATAAGTTACTTATTTTACAGATATCATTTGACATTAATAATCATACATAGTACAGCATAACAATCATGATGAAATCTCCATTTTATGTAGAAAATTATCATTTGACTGATGACCTGATGGCTTAAAAAATATGTGGAGCATAAGAGAAAGGCTTATGTTCAAATCAGAAAGAAAATTTACATTGTAGAATACTGTACATAAGCTGTTGTTTTGAGGATTCAGCTGCGTTGGATCAGTGCCATGGTATTTTATCAGTCTGTATCTGGGCTAGAATCTATCAGAGGTCTCTAACACTATAGTGTCCTATATGCAAGACAAGTAAGGAAAACTTCGATGATGAAGTGTGAACCCACAGGGTTGCCCACACACTCACCATTCCTGTAACTGCACTGAAACTGACAGAAGGCTGGGAGGAAGGGGGAACACCAGAGATTTTCTTATTCCCAGGAGACAGTAGGGAATACAGTCTCAGTCTGCGGGCTGTGCCTTGCAACACTGAAGTACACTGTGGACTGATGTGAAAGTTCACAAAACCCATGCGAGAGCTCAAGGTCATCCATCACAAAGGAGATGTTAGAGATCCCTCCCCCTGTAGCCTGAGCTTGAGAGGCATCTACCGTTCACAGAACCTCATCTTGCTGATAGCGGAACCCTGTTGCTCCTGAGTGTTTCTGCTGATTTTGGAGTTCTGAAATAAGAATCAATGTCTCATTTTCAAAATGCATGCATGCTAGGAGCAGGTACAGGCTAGGGATAAATGAAACTATAATAAATGTGAGGTACCATAAATTTTCTTTTGAAAAAGGGAATCGCCATTCTGATTTATCATAACAAAGGATTTTGAAGGAGATTCTGGTGTTCTTATTACAAAAACAGCCCATTCTATGACTATGGAACATCTACTACTTAGTTTTCCTCACTCTTTTCTTTGTACATAAAAAAATTCTGACTCAGCAAGGCAAAACGATTGGTTCAGAGTCATTGAGAATGGAGCCAGATTCAAATCCCCGGCTGCCTCTAAGCTGATAGCCTTTCCAGTGCTCCGCTTTGCCAACTTTTTAAAATTAAGACAACGCCTCAGCATTAATAAGAAACTCCCAGAAAGACTTTCTCAACACTGCCATATATTAGTGGAGAATGATTTTGGGGAGAGCAGCTTTAGGCTTTCTGGTGTCCCCTCCCTCTGATCTCACCCCTGCCACTGTCACCCTCTCTCCATAGGGAGCCTTTTGGGGCCTCATGTTTGGCCTAGGAGTGGGCCTTCTACGAATGATCCTGGAGTTTTCATACCCAGCCCCAGCTTGTGGAGAGGTGGACCGAAGACCAGCTGTGCTGAAGGACTTCCACTATCTGTACTTTGCCCTCCTCCTGTGTGGGCTCACTGCCATCGTCATTGTCACCGTTAGCCTCTGTACAACACCCATCCCTGAGGAGAAGGCAAGTGGTGTTCTTGTGAGTGCCTACCACTCAGCTTGCTCAGGGCCTACAAATCTACCCTGGCTTTTATTCCAATGGATGTTGGTATCTCCTGATGCCATGCAGACACCCTCAAGAGCTAAGCTCTTTGAGATATAAATTTCCAAGTGAAAAGAAACTCAATTTAAAAATTACTCAGTGAGTACATGAGGCATGCCAGGCACTATGCAAGGCTTACAAAGATGAATGGTCTCTTGCCAGCAACTGCCCTTGTGGGGGGAAACAGACACCAGCCCCCAATATTACTAAACAAATGAAAGGTTCAGGGAGCTCAGGATCTAGGGGAGGGCCAAGCCTAGAAGAGAGGTAGTCTTCACCTGAGGTCCATGGAAGAGAACAGTACAGATTGTTTTAATGGTCAAGAAGCAGGTACAATACAGAAGAAACAGAGAGTGCTAGATCAGGTCAGCCTTCCCTGTCTCAAGCTGACTGATATACCCATCTCTGAATGCTGAAGCCCAGTCTTGGGGAGTTTCCTTCTTTGCAGAGTCTGACTAGTTTTCTAAGGTGCCATACCTGAGGAGCACAGCCTGTGGCTTATGCAACAGAAATTCAAAGACCCTCAATTCTGGAAGCTGAAAGTCTCGTTTAAAGTGTCAGCAGGCCTGGTTTGCCCAGGAGCCCCCTTGTGTCTTCACAGGGTCTTTGATCTGTCTGCAACCTAAGCTGATTTTTAAGGACACCAGTGATGACAGATTAGTGCCCACCCATATCTGCCTATTTTACCTTAGTTACATTTATAAGGATTCTGTCTCCACCTGCAGTTGTGTCCTTGGGCCCAGGGGCTAAGACTTCAATATGTGGATTTCCAGGCCTCAAAGTTTGCAAACTCCCAGAAGTGCAGCCTTCAGAGCTGATCTCCTGGGGCTGAGTCCTCGGGGACTCCACAGTCTGCCTCCTCACGCCTCACATGGAGGCTTTTCCTGGATCCTGTCCTCTTGTTGCTTCTGCCTCCCCTTCTCCCATCCACTGTCACCCTTTATGAAGAGCAGCTTCCACTCCCAGCCTCCATTTCCCACTGCTGGTCTACCTCACAACCCACTGTGTTCTGGCTGTTGTCCCCAGCAGGCCACTGAAATTGCCCTCATTGAGATCACTCATAACTTTGGTTCGGTAAAATATCAGTGATCACTTCCCTGCCTCTATCCCCTTGACTACCTTGTGAACCTGGGAGCCCTCTCTTCTAGTCACTTCTATGGTACCTTTTCTTCCTGTTTGCTTTTTCCTATTCTTCTAATCACTCTTCTGACTGCACAGCCTTTTCTTTCTGCTCCCTTAGTATTATTTTTCCTGAGGAGCCCACATCTGACCTATAACCCTTGTCACCCTCCAATGTCCTGAGGCTATAAATTCAACCACTTTCTGTCTAAAGTGATACTCAGTTCCCCATATCCAGCCCAAATCCCTCTCCCAAGGTTCAGACCCCAGATCTGTCTGTCTCACAGTGATATAAAGAGTCAAGGTCCATGTGACAGTAATGGCACACAGTATGAGAAGAAATTAAGGTTTATTGAGAAATGTGCACAAGCAAAGAAGCTGTCCACCCCTTTGGATACTGAGTCACCAGTTGGAAGCTGGGACAGGGCAGGGGATGCTTGGCCCCACCTAATGCGAAGACCTGGCCAGGGGAAGAGCACCATTCCCAGCCTTCAGGGAAGGGAGATGCTCCACAGTCCAAGAACTCGTGACTGACTCTAGTGCCACTGCTATCATCCAGACAACTTGTGTACTTCATCTGCAGGGCCACCAAAAAGGGGGGAAAGGGCAACCTGGGGACACAGATGGCCTCTCCCCACTGCTGTCTCCACCTGAACGTGCTACATCCCCTTCAAGCTCACTGTCACCTTGGATTTACGTGTGCACATGTGCTCCCTTTCTCTCCTCTTAGCCTTTGGGTGAGCATCAGAACCCACTTCTGCTGGGTGTCCTCTGTCCACTACCCTCTGGCCATCCATGGCTGGGAGCCAAGGGCAACAGCCCTGCTCCTCCAGCTCATTCATGCAGTCACCACCCATCCTATATAGGTTACCTCCTGGGACCCCTTACGATTGCTCCCGCCACCCATGTCCTCACTCAAGAATTCTTGCTTCACTTTTACCACAGTGTCCAGCTTAGGTCACCTGTTATTTGCCTTGAGACATCCTCAAAAATCCCAGAATTTCCACTTCCTTCTATTTTTCTGAAGTCTGCAGTGTCAACTCCCTGCCTGTCCTGCAAAGCCTACTAGGTCGGGTTCCTGACTTCCTGTCCTGCCTTGTTCTTCTCTGTCCATGAGCTTCAGAAGGCAAGACCAAGGTCTGTATTCAGCCAGTGGAGGGCTTCTATTTGAAGAAAGGGGCAACCAGGGCTAACATGTGGCTCCCTCCCCTGCCCCACCTTGTTCTTCCTTCCCTTCACTATGGCTCCCAAGCCTCATGTGCATGCGACCTTTTTCTACAGCAGGACTTGCTCCAATTGCAGCAGTTCCAGATGGTCCTTTCTCTCCCTCTAGCTCACTCGCCTGACCTGGTGGACACGGAAGTGCTCTGCCTGTCAGCTGGAGGAGGCCTGGGAGAGCCAGAGTGAGAAGGAGAGTGGGCCGGGGAGGTCTGAGAGGCCAGCCTGGGAGAGCCCCTCAGGACAGGTCACCACTGGGAACTGCAGCCAGGGCTCAGAGCAGCCCAGAGGTAAGCCAAGGGCCAGAGAGGGGCAGTAGGGGTGGTCACCATGTCCTGGGTCCCTCACAGCCCCATGTGGGACTCATTGGAGAGTCTCTTAGACAGCCCCCAAAATATCATCTTTCCTCCTTTCTGATATAACTATTGAAATGTCTGCAAACTAAGAGAGCTGAATGTGGTAGATGGGAACCAAAACATTGGCTTCATTGCTGATAAAATGCAAGTGGGAAGACTCAGCGCATATCAGCTCACATTAGACAGAGGTGCCCATCCAGCCATCAGCAGCTCTGATGGAGGACATGGCTGGTGGGTACGGCCAGGGCTCAGGCAAGCAGTGTGTGCCTGAGGCGCTCCTTTCACAGGGCAGAAAACGTCAGCGTGGCACAGAAGCACCCTCGTGCTCAGCACCACTTATTTCTTTCCTATTGGGCTTCACCCTCCTGCCTGCCATCACAGAAGCCTGGCTCTCCCCACGAAAGGAGCATAGCTACATGTCCACACTGCATGCCCACCTTCCGGAGGTCACCCACACAGCCCTCACTTCTCTGTGTGTCTACTTGAAATGCCGGTGGCATCTCCCAGAGGGTCTAAAATGCGTTAGGATAGCACGGTAACTAAACCACTGTACTGTCAGATGTATTTTGGACGTAATGCAGCCATAACCTTCCTGTGGGGAGATTAAATAACATTATTAAGGCATTCTAAAGGTAGAACAGCATCATAGAGATTTTTCAATTATATTCCCAAGGAAAATTTTAAAATCCAAAATTATATACAGTTTGCAAATTAAAGCCCAAAATCAATTTATCCTGTCCTTATAAATTAGAAAGTCAGTGAAATTTAAATTCTAAACTTAATTCCTGCTTCAGTTAGAGGGGATCTCAGTGCCTGGCTGGCATTAGAGCGCTCTTGATAGCTGCTGTCTCCCTTTGCACTGAAGTGTCTGAGCTCTGTCCTGGTCTCTGGACTGCCCTCCTTTCCTTAATTCCACTGGGTTAGATGGAATGAATTATCCAAGCATCATTGCTAGACCCGCACAGTTGGCAACACTGTCAGTCTGTCCTTGATGGCTAGGTTCTGGGACCTGTGCTGTCCCCAAGGACTGAGGAGCCACCACCACTCTTGGGGGCCTTCAGTCTAGAAAGACACCCAGTGCCTGGAGTTAATGACATCCTGAACTCTGAAACCTCAGCAGAGTCTGAGGTTCAGAGCTTCTTGCCCGAGCCCCAACAGGTAAGAGCCAGCGGTCCACTGTAGAAAGCTGTGGTAGCAAGTGTGAGTTCTTGCAAGCTGGTGTGGTCAGAGCACACTTGGGCTAACTTTCAGAAGCGCCATCTTGTCAGTCCACTGCCTAGTTCAGGCATATTTCCCTTGGCAAACTGTAGCTTTTGTCTCTCTGATAAGCTTCCTGGCCCATGTGTGTGCTGGGAGTGTCTCAGGAGTACTTCCCCCATCACTGCAAGGACCAGGGTCTGACTGCCTCGAGAGCTTGTGGTGTGGAAGAAGCAGCCCTTAACCTGCGCTCAGCACAGGCAAAGTAGCTATCAAGAGAGGAAAGCCAAGCACCAACACGTCTCCAAAGGTGAAGAGGAGGAAACAGCCTGTGCTGCCCACCTCAGAAGGCAGAGCTAGACAGACACACACAGATATACTAGACAAGCCCACTCCCTGGCTGGGCCCAGTCCTGGGCAGGGCCATCCCTAGAGGAGCAGAGAAGGCTGACTACTCCCTGTGGGTGCAGACAAGGATGACTGCTGCCCAGCAAGGGAAAGGAGGCACTTAGTCAGTGACAAAGCCCAAAGAGAGAAATCCACACACCCAAGTCCCCTTCTTTCACAGCCACCAGTGCAGAAGGCAGAGGGCAGGGGAGGCTGTCTGCTGTGTGGGAGGTCTCCTCCCGTGGCCCAAGAAAGTGAGCACTGGAAAGTGGGAAGAAGTGTCACCCCCCAGAGACCCGAAGTTTGATGCAGGCCATGGGGTCTAATTTTGAGTTATAAAAATATAAAGGACAGTGACCAGATCTAAAAGAAGCAAAGACATTTTCAGTCTTAGGTTCAGGCTTGTTGAGTTGTTACCTCGTGATGTGCACCCACAGAGGCCACTGTGAGAACCTAGGCCAGAGGCTTGGGGCCGCTTATATAATGAGGGACCCCAGCACAGACCTCACAGGGTGCAGCTCTCCCCTCTGGTGAGCCATTCGGTCCTCTGCAGCGAGGAGGAAGTTCAGCGTGAGGGTGCCCAGGCTTCCTGCATCTTGAGAGGATGAGGCTGCACTGCGCACACCAAGGGCCCAGTCCCACAGTCATACAGGTGAAGCACCTGCTCCTGGGCGATTCTTTCCTTCTCCCTGGAAGAGGCTTTCTGCGAACTTTATTCTTAATACACTGTTTAACTTTAAAAGCCTCAAAAAGACTTACTGCCTTTACTACTTCTTTTAGACTTAGTTTTATGAAAGGCACTGCATTTTACCTCCCTGTGGGCGCTTGCCGCACACCGGGGAGCCTGCGGCCTCCCTCGCCCTCTGTGACTCTGCCCTCTCCAGCGCCTCCCTCTCTGCTCATACACTGGTGAAGGGATGTCAAATCTCCCTTCACATTTGGTGCTCAGAAACAGTCTGAGAGGAAGGGGTCACATGTCACTGAAGAAAAAGCACCTGTTGGCCAGAGGACTGGTGAGATCTGCAGGTGGGCTCAGTCAGCTGAGGGTGGCGCTGGCCCTGGAGCCAAGGTCCTGGCTTCCAGAGCAGCGCCCAGCCCCAGGGCAGGGCAACGATCCATCTGGTTCTGAGGTGCCCTCCTCCTTTCCGAGGGAGATCATGCTCCTTCCCTCTGTTCTCATTTTGGATGTGGGCTCTGAATTGAGATCACATTATCCTCTCTGCTTGACACCCCACCCCACCCCATGCCACAAGGATGTGCTCCTACGTGGTGACTGGTCAGATGCTGAGGCCAGTGCCAGAGCTCAGCTGGACCTCAGGTTTTTGCAGAGGGCCCCTCCCACCTCTCCTCAGTTTCTCACCATCTCCCTCCCTGTCTCTCACTCCTTCCCCTTCCTCACCCTTTCCTCACCTCTCTCTTCCTGCTCCTTGCATGCTTCTGGCTCTGTAGCCCCATCCTCCTGCAGATCTTGGGGAGAGCTGCTCTGGGGATGGCTCTGTGGGCTCTCTGCAGCCCCAGGACCTGACCTGAGCCAAGCTGAGAAGGCTGCTCTGCAGGAGAAGCTGACCAGCCTCGAGGAGGAGCCGTTTTGGAGAAGAGTCTGCAACATCAACGCCCTCCTCTTACTGACCATCAACATCTTCCTCTGGGGCTATTTTGCATGACTGAACTGGTCTGATTTCTGCCAAGATGAGCTAAACACAGCCCAAGCCCGGCCGCATGCAGAGACAGGCTCTCTTGCTACCCTTCTCCAAACTGGAGCCCAAAGAAGCTGAGCAAGGAAGAGGTCCTGAGATCATTTAACCTGACACACTCCGTGAGTGAGCATTCAAGGCCCAGAGACAGCACTGGGGCTGCCCAAGGCCAAAGACCAGCGTCATCCTGTGTCTCCCAACCCCAGCTCCTGTTCCATCATCCTGCCTTACATTCCTACCTCAAGGATGGCTTCCACCTCTTCTTGAGTTTACTCAGGAATCTTTACTATATATATGTCTTGAGGTTAGAAAAATGATAAAGAAAAGGAAAAATTTGCAAAACTCAAAGTATATCTTTTTCCTCCATATCTTTCCTCCTCTTTCCTCACACTAGCTACCCAGACTCCCTGTCTCTAATTTCCAGCCCCCAGTAATCTTTCTGAAACATGAATCTACCAAGGACAGCCTTACAGTTCCATTGGTGGCTCTACAGTCAGGGCTGCCTCGTCAACCAGAGTGAGGGGCTGAGGGAGGAGTTAAAGTATGATGGCAGATGCTATTTAGGCCAGTGAGCTTTTGGACAGTGAGCTTTTGGACTCGTGCACACTATTCAAGTCTTTCCTCCTCCTACCTGCAAAAACCAAGTCTCCATGGCCTTGGGGAACTTAAGAGTGCAGTTGGAGAGCCATGGCTTGTTGAAAGCAAGAGGAATCAAAGCCTTAAGAGTCAGCCCTACAGGGACAGCGGGGCAGCTTCAGAGCTACAGCAAGGGACTCTTCGCCTCTTTCTGCCTTCCAAGCCTCTGCCACCCTGGAATACAATGTAGCTCATTTGAGTATATCTTGCCAGGAAGCCTTCCAATGTCCCCAACTGGGTCAGGGTACCACCGCTGCTCCCACTGCCCCATCGATCAGCTTCTATCAAGGCACTGGTCACACTATCGATCATGTTGTTTCCCCCTCGATGGTATACTGCAAGGGACAGGCACCAACTCCTGTGTCCAACTTGACTCCCCCCCCCCCAAGTAATAAGTACCAATAAATGCTTGTTGAATACACTCTTCTGTGTCCTGGCATACTTTGGGCTGTGGCTAGCAGGGCAGACTTGGAGAATTACCTGCTGAGGAGGAGTTGCTAGAAGGTGGAAGACACCCGAGTGTCAGCTGTCTAGATTGTGACCACCTCCTGGCCCCAGGCAGAACTAGATGATAATGTTTTTTTCCCATTCTCCAGCCCCCTGCCTGGGCTGCCCCTAATCTCCTCTGATCCTCTTTCACGCTACCTCTGGCCATCATTTTACACTGATCTATAATCCTAACTGGATACAAATAAAATTTTATTCCTGAATCGATGAATACCTGCCACTGCTGCTGCCTCCAGACTTTTGTTTCCCTTGGTCATTCAGCCTACGCCTCCTCTTAGTTTTCTGTTTGTCCCTTTTTGCTCCTCATTGACCTTGACAGAGAACTGATCTTTTCCCTCTAAACCACTTGCACAAGTTACTTGTGGACAATGGATGAGATGAAAGTTTGGAAGGGGAAGAATTTTAAAGCACTGAAGCACCATCTAAAGTTGAATGGCGACCTTCCTCCCTTAAGCATCCCATAGCAGATCACTAGGTGCAAGCATTCCTCATGGGCCTCTGACTCAGTCTCCAACCCCAGCCTTGTGTGGAAGCTGGGTCTCCCCACTCCCTGCAGTCACACCCCTTCACTTCCTCTGTCGTTGGCTCTCTGTATTATGCTGAGTTTCCACTGGGCTCCAGACTGATCCATAGGACTCAAGTTTCACAGCCCCCTGTTGAATGCAGTAATACTGTGGGGAAAATGACCAACCCCTGCCTACCCTCCCTGCCTGGTTCATTTCTACTTGCTCCTCACATCTCAGCTCAGAATTTGCAATCCAGGAGAAGCCATACTGTCTCAGTCACCAGCACCACGGTCTCATGTATCCGAGGTAGACGAGTCCCCAATACCCACATGGCCACCTGCCTGCTTCCAATATGTGTGTCAAAGGGCAGACTGCTGGGCTCATGGAACTTTTTCATGTATGTGCATCTCCTCCCTTGGACTGAGAGCTCCCCACTCAATTCCCACTACCTAGAAAGATGCCCAGCTCCTGACAGGCACCAGCAAAATATATCGCATGAATAAATAAGAAAGGACAGAAAAAGGAACTTCTTCATTAGGTGGGAAAATGACAGCATAATCAGGAATGAAAACAATTTAAAATGCCTGGCATGAGGGCCAGCCAGATAGCTCAGTGGACTAAAGCATCTGCTTAGGCAGGCTCAGGGGCCGGGGTTTGATCCCCAATGTGCCTTGCCAGCCCTGCTCCCAGGGTGCTCTTAGATGGTGCCTGAGACTGGGCAGGTTGGTATGTGCCTGTAATCCCAGAGCTTGATAGGCTGAAAACTGGAGGATCACTATGAGTCCAATCTGTAGGGAGATACTATAGATCCTGTACTAAAATAAAAAATAAAATAAAATGAAAAAAAAAGCACAGTAAAATGCCCGGCATGGCTGGCACACGTGGCTGGGGCCACTGATCACTATGGCTTCTTCATGCAAGTGAGAAAATGGCTTCTTTCTTCTGCGGCAGATCTGGCCTCTCACTGTAGGGCTGTAGATGGCGGCCATAGCAGCCCCTGGGCTCCCTGCCAGGCATATGAGTGGCAGCCAGGTGCAGGAGAGATGGCTGCTGCGGTGGCTGTGAGGCAGGCTGGGCTGGCCCATGAAGGAGGTTCCTTCCTAAGCCTGGGCTTCTCGCCTCTTACTGCACAGAGCAGCAGTCTCTGTCTCGCTTTTTTTTTTTTTCCTATTTAATAAAGATCTTTTATTGTCTCATTAAAATATCAGATTGGCTTTACAATCCAGGAGCTTGTTTCTGTGGCTGGATTAACTCTTGGATCTTACTCATCTGGCTGCTGAATTGTTCCATTTTCAGAAACCTAGATACCATCCAAAAATTTTCTGATATCCTTGTTTTTGGCTGTTGTGGCTTGCTGAATCAAAGCAGCGGAATTTGAAACAAGTTCAATGTCATTTCCTTCAAGGATTAGTTCATCTTTCTGGGCTTGAGGTACTGAGTGAGCAACACCTGCCCTCATACGAACTCGGTGAATGTATTTTTCACCCAAGAAATTCCGAATTTCGATGAGAGACCCATTCTCCTGAGTAACGACGTTGATGGGGAAGTGAGCATACACAGACCTCATCTTATAACGGAAGCCCAGCGTGACCCCCTTGATCATGTTCTGTACATGGCTACAGATCGTGCGGACAGTTGCCAACTCCTTTCTGTTTCCCCACCATTTGTCAACTCGGAGCCTCTTCTTTTTCTTCCCAAGAAGACTGAGTTCCACACTGATGTGGTTGAAGTCCCTCCGGAGGGTTCCTCTGGGGCCCTTCACAATAACTGTGCGTCCTTTCAGAGTGATTTCCACATTTTCTGCAATGTCGACTGTCTGATTGCTAAGAATGGTCTTCATTCTTGCAAGAGACGCGACAAAGCGAGCAGCAGTCTCTTGACTGTGCTCTCTGCTACCTGCCTCTCCTTTTCCAGTCCAACCTGTGCATGGTGGCAACAGTGATCTTTCTAAAATACAAGTCTTGCCTTTAAGGTTCTCTACAGATGATGTTTTCTGGCCTGGCTTGAGGCCCTACTGCTTGAATAAAGCCAAGAAATATGTCTAGGGTTTAGGCCTTGGGCCCCCTTTCCATTCCAGTCAAAGACAAGCTGTTCTATGCTGGAGTTAAGGACAGAGGTTTAACACTAAACTTCAGGAATCGTATTCCACCTCTGTCATTTGATAAATACATGGCATTGAGAAAGGTGCTTCTCAGTCCTAGTTTTCTCACCCACAGCATGGAGATGGTAATTGAAGCTATTTCTTAGGGTTGGTCTCAGAATTAAATGAGTCAATTCAAATAAAATATTTAAAACAGTGCCTGGCACATTGCTTTGATAAACACAAGCTATTCTCACTATTGACGGTACAGGTGAGATGAACATGTAGACTACGTGAGAATGTTATTTTAGAGCTAGATACCATACCAGAGCAATGAGCAAGAGCAATTAATTCTATTGGGAGATTCCGGGAAGGAGATACCAGAGAAGCCAGTATTTGAGCTGGCCTTTGCAGTAGGGATGAGAGTTTCCTGGAAGTCATACAAGGCAGAAGGGAGGGATGTGCGAAAATGTCGAGGTATAAAAGTACGTAACAGGGTTCCCACAAAATAAGGATACTGCCTGCTCACTTGCCAATATCAGCCCTGTATATTTAATGTCCCCTCTACACTATGTTTTAGTTTCTTTCCTCTAAGGCAGAGCTGTGAAGTGGGCTGACCAGGGCCATGGAAGAATGAGCATTCAACCACTGGAGCACAGCTGTAGTCTGCACCCTGCCCACAAACCCCAGGTGTCCTCAGCCTGTGTGCGGTGACTGTCTCTTGGAAGTCTTTGCAACTCCACTGAGAGAAGTTCTGGGAGCTGATGTGTCTTGGTGCATCCCTCAGCCAACGTGAACAAAGGTTGGCGATAAGCACAGCTGGTTCCTGGCCCTCAAGCCAGACTGCGAGGATGCTGGTTCTTGGCCCCCTCACAGAGGCACTCGGTGGGACAGACCCCCAGTCACCCACCACATCAACACCATTACACACCCTGTACGCCTCCCTGGACTTTCCTGTTTCATTTCAAAATTCCCTGCTGAAGTTGCCTTGGCTCTCCTCCCAAATAAATCATTAGAACCTTGTCTTATGTGCAGCTACTGGGAAGCCAAGCTAAGACAGTATTTTAGAAGGAAATCAGGCTTCTTAGATCTCACTTGTCTAAGGAATTGTCTCTTCTACCAGCTTTCCTCCCGCCACCTCTGAACTCTCCAGTTGGGTTTTGTCTTTCCCCTGAGCCCCACAGCCCCTGTGTCTCTACCATAGCAACTCTTACAATAGTGTCATAATTAGCTGCATCTCTCCTTTGTCATACACTGGTGCCGTTTGAAGGTAGGTATTCTATTTGTGCAGGGCTTTCATGGTGTGAGGGCACTTAGTAAGTGCTCAGAAAAATGGCCATAGTGAATGAATTCAAGAATGTTAAGTTTGGGGCCTGGGAGATAGCTCAGTGGTCTAAGCACCTGCTTAGGCAAGCACAGGGACCAGGGTTCGATCCCCAGCACCACATGCCGCACCAGCCTTGTTCCCAGGTGCACTGAGCCAGCCACCCAGATTGGGCATGGTGGTGCATACCTGTAATCCCAGTGCTGGGGAGGCTGAGACAGGATGATCATTATAAGTCCGAGCTGTGTAGCAAGACCCTGTACTAAATAAGTGAAAAAATATATAAATCTTGAAAAAAGAATGTTACATTCATTTGTAATACTTTGATTCTGACTGTTCCCTAGTTTCTAATAGTAACCAAGAGAAACAAAAACAGTTTCTGTACAGACTTTGAAATTACAGAATCCTGCCAGGTAAGAGGTCTTAATAAATTCCAGCAACCACCAGAGGCAGGTAGAGAAGCCAAAACAGATGAGCACACCCAAATGTGAGCTCTCTATAACTTTTCAGGATTCCTGCCCCAATCAACCTCCCTTCACTTCCTGGAGCAAGGGTAAAAACACTAATCTAAGGGTCAAAAACTAATACCCTAGCTTAATAATCCTACTACTTGCTTTGTGACCCTCCCTTACCGCATTCCTCAGTTTTGCCATCCCTGGTAACGAGGAGGGGGCAAATGCACGCCCCTTCACACATTGCTCTTCTGTGCTTCTGATCTGACTCTCCATTTATCAGGCCAAGGCAGTGAGGGGACAGTTGGCCGGAGGTACACAGGGAAACAAGGTTGCCCATCAGCTTTGGTGGCAATGTCACAGCTAGAAAAACACTGAAAAGTTGCTTTCTGAGAACCAAATGGGTTTGCCATGAGCAATATATAAAGTTAAGAGGCTGCTTCAGACTGTGAAAGGACAGTGTTTAAAAACAAACAATTGTCTTAAAAATACCACAAAGAAACAATTTTTTTTAAAGTGGCTTGCA